AGAGAGAGAGAGAGAGAGAGAGAGAGAGAGAGAGAATAAATATTTTTAAAGGTCAAGTTTGTGAGAAAAAAAATTGAATACACCAAGAGAAAATAACCAACAGGTCAAGAAATAGAAGTAAAAAGGAAGTAGTGTTTTTCCACTTATAACTGAAAAGAAACTACAATTTATATCTGTATTTGTATGTAGATGCCCTATTTATTTAGTTATAGACAGGACCCAAAAATAATACCTCTCTCCAATTTTAGGATTATAGGTATATGCCACCACATCAGACCTGGATATCTAATTTATATGTATATAAAAATGTCTAATGTTGATTAGCATGTGTAGAAACATGCTGATGACATAAAGTATATTGTTTTAAATTCTTCCACAAAGCAATTTGAAAATATGTACCAAAAATCTAAATGCCCATGAAATGGATCTTTAAAATGTCTGCCTGACCAAATAGAACATCTTAAAGCAAGAACATTTCAGCCAGGTGTGGTGGTACATGCTTGTAATCTCAACATTTGGGAGTGTGGAGAATCTAGAGTTCCAAGTCCACCTTCCATAGCTAGGTAAAGGCCCTTTGTCTTATATAAGACACACACACACACACACACACACACACACACACACACACACACACACACACGCCCCTTTAAAACATCCAAATATTTTTGCATATACGGTTTCTCTATGTAACACCCCTGGCTGTCCTGGAACTCTCTCTGTAGACCAGGCTGGCCTTGAACTCAGAGATCCGCCTGCCTCTGCCTCCAGAGTGCTGAGATTAAAGACGTGGGCTACCACCATCTGGCCAGTGTCATTTTTTAAGTGTTAAAACTGGCATCAACTCATATTTCCAAGATAAAATTTATGTTTAAAATACCTAGTTTTTTAATGTAATTAATATCTTCAAGGAATATTTAATGACCTTAAATCTCAGACACAAAAGAAAGGACAAACAAAAACAAAAAACACCATAAATTCATTTAAAAACACCCTCCTCCCCACACACATCCCAAATATAGAAGCCAGTTATGCTGTCTTGCTCTGGAAGCAGAAGTGGGCAGGTCTCTAAGTTCCAGACTAGCCAGGTCTACATTCAGGTCAGTCAGGGCTGCAAGAGTGAGTCAGAGCCCTTGCCCTGCCTCTAATTCTGCTCCTAACGTTTCCTGTATTTGACACATTTTTAATAAACTCTTGGGGAGTGAAGTTTGTTAACTAGGATAAGTTAATCGAATTAAATGAATAGGCTGAACCCCCTTTCTGTCGCATCTGTCTCTGGTCTTACGTAAAATGAATGGTCATGCGCTCGCTTTTCTGGGCCTCTTACTGTGAAATCCCTGAAGTTTTAAAGTTTCCTTGTGGAATGGAGGCCAGGTTGGCTTTGCAAGCGGAACTAGCCAAGGCCTCCTGTAGCGTTCCGGGGTCCGCTGCCCGGCCACTGCGCTGTAGAGCAGAAGCTGCGCCCTTCTCGCGTCAGTGCCCCCGAGTTCCTCCTGCTAGGAGCCTTCGCTTTTCCGTCATCGGGTGGAAAGACACTGGCCACGAACGGCCCTAATTGCGAACCTCCTCTTTCAGGAGTGTTTTCTTAAGTGTACTGGTTTACAGGCTCTGCGCAGCTTTAAGAACAGGGGCGCTAGGAAATTTGCAAACCGTTTTAGACAACTTTGGGTTTCAAATACGGCTAAAAAGGCGCAAAGCAGCATTAAAATTCAAGATACTTGACCTTGACATTCTAGCTAAGATCCTTTTCGAGGCGGCCTTGTAACATTCAATTCAAATATGTAGAGAGGAAAAAAAAAAATAATCTGCACGTATCGAGCCAGCCAGGAGTCGAACCTAGAATCTTCTGATCCGTAGTCAGACGCGTTATCCATTGCGCCACTGGCCCGGTGCTGCTAGGGCCCCTTCCGTGATGGCTGATCTCTGATTACGCAGTTAAAACAGGCTTCCTCCCTCCAGTCCTCCTTTCTTGTCGGTTCGTTGAGCGTCTCGACTCAGAGCAACGCTACCGGGATTCCACCTTTCACCGCAGCGCGTTGCACCAATCTCCGGCGGCGACGTCACGGCGTCCTTTGGCTTGCTCCAATCCGTGCATCGGAGGCGTGTCTCGCAGGTACCGGCTGGCGCACTGGTTTGTCCGCCGCCGGCTCCCGTGCTCTCCCGAGAGGCGGTCCCGGGAGGGGGTGGGACCAGGCCAAGGCTCCTTGACCACCGCACCTAGAGAGCGGCCGTGCCGGAGCCGAGGTGGCGTCGGGGTCCGCTGCGGGCGGAGAGAAAAGGAAGGAGGTGCTAGTGCACGATGGCGGCGGCGGCCTACGAGCAGCTGAAGCTGTGAGTCCCATGGGCTGCGGCCGCTGACAGGAAAGGGCCGAGGGTCGAACGGGCGCCGAGGCCCGGAGCGTGTGCGGCCCGCACTGCCCAGGCTAGCGGGCTCGGCTTTCTCCGTCCGGCCTGGCCACAGCGTAGGCCCGCTGGGCCTAGCGCGGTGAGCCGAGCCCGAGCCCGTAGCGTTAGGAGAGCTCCCGGTGTGGCTTCTCGGAGAGGCCTTATTGACTGGACCTCGGGAGTGCTCTGGCGTTCGTCGGCAGAGCAGACCTTTCTCTTGGTTTCTGGCTTTCCGGGCCTGGGAGCCGCTAAGACTAGTCCTTAGGGTGCAACACAAATCCAGTCAGTCGTCCGAAGGGCCGGACGAATTTACTGTGCTTATTTCAGCTTTCTGTGCTGACAGCTAGAGGCTTGCTTCCAGTTTTTGCACAGTAAAATTGGCTTTTTAGCAAAGCCAGGTGCTTGAGGTTTTGAGACCTAGCCTTTGGTTCTTTAGAGATGCACAAATAGACTTTTATAAGATCTTTGGCTCGTCCTGAGCTTTAAAAAAAGGGAGATATTTCTCATGCTGTTACTATCCACACCTGCACTCTTTCTTGGGCGAATAACTTCGCCCTAATCGCTTTAATTATTTACCTTGAGATTGTTTAAAAGTCACAGACCATAGTCTGGGAATGCCTTTAGCAGCAGAAGCAAATATAACTTTGAAAAGCTAAGTTAAAAATATCCTGTTACTTAGACCTAGGCATTCTAATTCTTTTGCAAAGAAGCAAATGTAGTTTGGGTGCTCCTTATGAATAACTGAAAAGTTAGGTGTAAAGTTAGGAGGGGCCGTCTGCTCAACACTGGTGTTTATTGAAAAAAGGTGGTAATTGGTTTTCTTCAACCTTTGTTCCTCTTCCACTTGCTACAGTTCTCTTTGAAAACCTCAGCTGCACACTCTCCATTTCTTTTAACTCTCCTTTACAAAGTGAACAATCACCCTGGTGACAGTTGAAGCAAAGTGTATTGGTTTATGTTGGGCCAGAGTCACATGTACTTTATTGGCAAATTAGGTTATTGTCCACCTGATAGTTGTTGAAGGGCTGAATATGATCCTGTACTAGGTCTCAGGTGTGTTTAAGCTATTTGGAGCCTTGGCTTGAAGCAGCTCCGCTTTAGATTACAGGATATCATTGAGTTTTCCTGCAACTAAGAATGACTGAGATGGATAATTTGAGAATTAGGAGGATTATTTTTGAGTTGCCCAGGCATTAAGTCTCACCAGTTCAGACCTCAATACAGGCAGACATCCTCTTTATACATCAAAGAGAAGGGAAATTTATTCTTTAGTGGTGGGAGCAATGGTTTTGTATTGAAGTAGAAACGATGGATTTGAGTTATGTATTGTATTGCAGTGGAAACAATCTAGGTTATATGGAAGTCACTATCAGTCTTTAGGTTTTGGATGTTTCTATAATGTGAAGGTAGAACTTCACTGAAAGTTTTTCTTGGGCAAAGGGTTTGTGAGTTAGAATCTGTTTCCACCCCTTTTTGACCCTCCTATTTAAACTTTTAAATATGGACCTTGAGCAAAGAATATTCAGTTTTAGAGGTATTTGTATGTTGAATTAGTTGCTGATCTAAGAATTGGTGGGACATAGTAGCCACTTTTTAAAAACGCCTAAAAAGAGCCGTATGAAAAGTTACTTATTGCCGGGCAGTGGTGGTGCACGCCTTTAATCCCAGCACTCTGGAGACAGAGGCAGGCAGATCTCTGTGAGTTCGAGGCCAGCCTGGTTACAAAGCGAGTTGTAGGACAGGCACCAAAACTACACAGAGAAACCCTGTCTCAAAAACCAAAAAAGAAAAAAAGAAAAAGAAAAGTTACTTATTATAGATGTACTGGTATATAACTTGTAACTTATCTAAATGTTGAAGTGTGTGGATATTAAATAATAACCTTTTGTACATTATGTCATACATTTTCTTCAGCCCTTCTCTGCCTTGTTAAACTTATCGCCATCCAGATGTGTTTTGTTCATCCTCTAGTTCTCAGCTTACAATTTCCACTTCCATTTTATTGACCTACAAGATCAAGCCCACATTTCTTAGCCACCTGAATTCTAATCTCTTTATAATCTTCTAACTTTATTTCCTGTGAGTCATGCTAAAGTTTGCTACTTCTCTTCTAGCTTCATGTCGGGTTTATTTTGATCTTTCTGCCAGAGCGCTTTCTTCATCTGTCCTGTCTACATGTTGGTCAGTCACATTTGCAGTGAAAAGAGATCTCAGGTGGTTTAGTCAGACCAGACAATGGATAAACTTCTAAAACTTTCTACTAGCTTTGCATCCTGGGCAGGTTATTCAGCCTCTGAATAATTTTTTTCTGAAAATATGAGTGTTTATATTTCATTATGTTGAGTTTGTAGATAAAGTACTCAAGGTGCCTCATAGAAACCTGAGAATCTGGTTTCCCTTCATTGAGCTCCTGTATCATTTTTGAAGCCAAAAGTGAGGATTTATTGTCACAGGGTTTGGGCACCAAATATTTGTATGATTTACACATTCTATTTTCTCTCTCATAGACAAGAGGACTGAAAAGTAGAATGACCAAAGTACTGTTTGAACCACTTATTTTGCCATGTGAAATACAGTATGTATACTTTGTTTTTCCAACAAGGCTAAATGTATCTAAAGTGTGATCAGTACCTTAATGTTGATTTCTTCTCTAATTCTTTGCAATACTTACTTAGCATGAACCTTTGAAGAGCATCTACTCTGTAAATCTCCAGAGTAAATGAACTTATCTAGTATAGATTACTTCAAGAAGAACAGTCTGGGATAATTTGGCATGTGTTCTTTTGAAGCATCAGAATCTTAAGTCCTTTCATGTCTATTATTGTCAGTGCCTCTGTGAGGTCATAGGTTAACATATAGTTTGCCCTCATTAAAGAATGTCACATGGTGTCCTGGTCACATAGGTCACACACTAAGCCATGGCAGAGTCAACCTTGAAACACAGTTGGCCAAGAGTCCAGTGATCTTTCCATTACACTACATTATTCAAATGACCCTTATCAGATTGCTCTCTCTTTAGTCTGTGGACAGCTAGGCATAAAACTGAGTTACTTGTAAGAGAAAATAGTTGACATGTGCATGTGGGCTTTTCATATAGAAAACAGAATCTATGTTGTTTGTTTTAAAAGACATAGTCCTCTGTATAGCCCAGGCTGGCCTTGAATTCATGATTCTTTTGCCTCACCATTCCCAGTACTAGGATTATTGATATCGGTCAACATGCCTAGCTTTTTAGGCTACTTACATAGCATGAGTAATGTCAGATACAGTAAATTTGAAATTGCAAAAATATAAAAATGCATTATTGGATAATATTAAAGCCACCCTGCACCACCCTTTTTCTTTTTAAATGTCAGCCAAAATAAAACATAAGGCAAAGAATCCTTTTAGGTGTTTCTAGCTTTTTGACATTGTAAAATGACTTTATCATCTATAGTGTACACACTTAAGAACCATGCTGTCAAGTTACAGGAAAAAAAGCACACACACCCCCATCCAAAATTGTTTTTAAACAAAAAATGTGCTAGGTAAGTTTATGATTGTGTATCAGGTCGCATTCATAGCTATTCTCAGCCACATGTAGATCACATGCTGAATATGTTTGTTAGATACTGAATCAGGTGGTAGTTTGCTCCCGAAAATTCTCTTTCCTGAGCTGGAGAGATGATTCATTGGCTAAAAGCACTTGCTGTTATTCCAGAGGACCTGAGTTCATTTCCCATCACCTCCATAGGGTGGTTCACAACTGCCTTTATCTCTAGTTCCAAGGGATTCAAAGCTGCCTTCTGGACTCCACAAACACCCTCCCTTCCTTCCTCCCTCCCTCCCTTCCTCCCTCCCTCCCTCCCTCCCTCCCTTCCTTCCTTATCTCTATCTCTATCATACAAGTGTGCACATACACATGTATGTATATATTTGAATAATAATTATAAAGCAAAAGTCTAAATTTAAAAGTCTTTAAAAAGTATTTATACCTTTAGGGGAAAAAGAAAGAAATACTATTTCCTCAGGAATTTGCTGTTCTTAAACACTCTCATTTACATAGCTATGCAATTAGGAGAAATGTGATGAAGCCCAGAGAGCAAATGCCATCTAAGCTCACTGCAGTGAACATAAGAATAGTGTGTCTAGTACAGTGAACACTCAGCATATTTACACAGCTTTGCATGAAGGGAAGGGTGTGGCTCAGCTGAAGTTTTCTTAATGAAATTAGGCACAGATGATAAAGGTTTGTGTCCAGAGGTGTAGCTGGAGAATTTCTCTCCAGCTCCCACCAAGTCTCCCCAGTCCTGGAGCCCACTTATAAAATAAACACACAGACTCTTACATTATTTAAACTGCGTGGCCATTGGCTCAGGTCTATCATAATCAAGCTCTTACTCTTATATTTAGCCCATTTCTATTAATGTATACTTTGCCACGTGGCTTATTAGTACCTTACATCTTCCTTGTCCTGGCGGCAGCTGTAGGCAGTGTGTCCCTCTGCCTTCCTGTTCCCTCAATTCTCTTCTCTGTTAGTCCCGCCTATACTTCCTGTCTGGCTATTGGCCAGTGTTTATTTATACAGAGCGATATCCACAGCACAGAGGAGGCATTAGTTGTATAGAAGAAGTTCATAATAGAGAGTCCTGCTTGAGAAAGAACCTCTTGAGCCCAGGTTGGTCTTGAACTCAAAG